TTTTTAAGAAAAAAATTTCTTTCTAAATTGCACGAGAAAATAAGTTCGTTGAATATGTATCATATTCAGATGTACAAAGATATTGCGCTATTTTATCGTACTTATACTATATAGTACATCCAGTTTTATTCTTTAGTTTGTAATATAAACGTTTCGAGGATCCCATGAACATGATATATGCAGTAGAGGGATATATTTGTGCTATCTATTTCAGCATGTATTATGCAGGAAGATCGATACGCGTGCGATGTAAGAGCCTTGTGATTTTTTTCAAATTATCGCGTTATTTTATGTCCCACCCAAACCCCCACCCCACTAGATACGTCTAATTAAAATCTTATTCTAATGTCATGCAGAAAAATTTTCGAGAAAGAAATAGAAATTTATTAATTAATTCTATTATTTATTTAGAGTAAAACGCAACTTTACTCAATAATTACCGCTTTATTAAGCATTATAAAAAAAAATGGTTCATGACTTTTCGACTGGATTTTTAATCAAAAATAACGCTATTTGCTCCGTGGGCGCTTTTTTAGTTACACCCTGTATATATATATATATATATATATATATATATATATAAAATAAGGAAAATAAAGATAAAATATAAATATATAAATAAATAGATATATAAGTAAAAATAACAAAATATAAAAAAATAAAATAAATTTGCAATTAACAATTACATTTTTTTCGAAACAATTATTTTCTTTACACCAATGATTCCTCTCATTATTTTGTACATAAAAGTATTAAGGTAAGATAATCGAAAAATGAATATTTTACAAGATATTTTACGGTTTATGTAAAAATAAGAAATGATTTCAAGCCTCATAACTTGGAAAGTACTTAGTGAAAACTATCTTAATTATAGTGTTTTGGAAAGCTCTCGAGATAAGTTACAAGAATATGTAAAAGCATATAGGATGTTCTGTTTGGAAAAGTTGGAGGCGACCTTTACGTGACCTTCAGCTGACTCTTCAAGGTCAAACTAATGGCACCATCTTATGTCCCCCTTGAAATCATACAACTTTTGTCTGAAATATTTTTCTCTAAATTGCTTCGTTTCCGAGATATAAATTTGTTTTTTTTAACACTTTACGTGGGCCACCTTGTATATATAATATATATCTTATCATACATCATATACGTTTGTTATATCACACATTTATTAGAAGGAGAATTTTCAATATTGATTTTCTCAGTTTTCTCTCAATCTTATTCACTTACAAGTTATTCTATTCTTCTTTTGACTCAAAAACTCTCAGGAACCGTCAAATATTCTATAAAAGAATCTATTGATGGCAACTGAAGGTCTATTAAGCAAAAATCCATCATGGATTTGATCTGAGCACGCGATGCCCCTGGCGATTCGATCGCTATACATACATACATGCACACATATGAGAAATATCTAGCTGTCAAACACACTTGGTGAATACAATACGACCGCCGACAATGTTGGCTTTGCATGTTGATGCCTCGAATTTGACATTCGACCATTTCCCGCGAAGTTCGAGTCGGGAATAATGTCGTCGCGAGACTATTTTGTCGGAAACAAACGTGCTATGATGTGCATCAGCGTCAGTTATTCATTGTTTCCAGGTAACTTGGCCGCCTCGAACTTGAGATTGGCCGGAGATCTCTGAACATGAATATTACACTATGTATGCAATTTTAGGTGAAAGTACAACATGTGATATATATATATATATATATATATATATATATATATTAGCTTTTTTTTTTCAATTTTTATTATATAATTAGTGTCTCTCTCCTATTGTTAGTCTTATATTCTTTTTATTATATTGTAATTTATTGTATATTGTCGTAAAATAATGTTGTTCTATTCATTAAACTTTTTTCGTTAATAATCTTTCAATAAACGATGAATTATAGCTAACATCTTTGGAATGTTACTCACATAGGAGAATGACTTTGATAATATATGTCAAGATCAAAATCATATGAGAGCCCATTACTTAATTATTTTCTTGTCCTTTTATAAAATAATTTTATAGACATCCAAATTACATAAAAGCCTATTTACATTGCAGCAGTGCAATGCATTCCTTATATAATTTAATCCCCCAAGAGAACTTACCTGCAAGTTTCCGACACGAGGGTGCTACTATAAGGTAACGAGAATTCGCGCGACTGCTTCACGATAAGTTAGTAGTTTAAGGGGAAAAGATAGATCTTTGTTCGCTAGTTCTTTCACAACGTCTTTTGAATCATAAGAAAGGCACGTGTCCCTGACTCTTGCGGCCTTTCAGGCTAAATTAAATGGAAAATTCAGAATTTCCATTTCGCTTCAAATTCGCTCGATTAATGAGAATTTGTCGTGTTTATCAGAGCTGCCGTAATAATAACTGTTTGATAAGCACAACATCATGAGATTAAAGTATTTTTCATAAAAAATAAAATACACTGAATGGTTTAAAAGTTCGATAATTATATATATTTTTAGATTAAAGCATTTTATTTTATATTAATCACATAATTTTATTTATGTCGTAAAATGTTGTTATTAAAATATTTATTATTGGAAATAAAATTGTAATATATAAAGAACCATTATATATGTTTAATGTGTAAATAACCATTATATATCTACTCGTATATTTAAATAACTATTTATTAAATTATTTTAATAAATAATAATAACTTTGTTCTTTTCAATTCTTTAAAATATTTAATCTCTGCAAATATATATTACAAAAAATAGAAAATAATATTGTATAAAAATAATAATATTATATTATCACATTTAAAAATAATGCTGTCTATTATACTATTAGACAATTTTATTTTTTATTTAGTGTATTATATAAATATAATTGTATTTTAATCAATAATTTGTCCTAAACTCTAAAATATTTGATCCTGCAAACAATATATATATATATATATATATATATATATATATATATATATATAGGGTGTTTCTTAATAAGTGCGGAAATTTTAGATGATTCTTTGTCGAAAATTGAGGGAGATTAGGTTTTTCATATAAACATATACATCCCTTTCTGTGGAGTTACACTCCTCCAAAAATGGATGTAAAAACTTCTAGCCACGCGCATTGGCCGATCTTCTTTAATTAATTTTTCATTAATTATTGCAAATATCGCAAAATAGTAGAGAACTTTCCTTCCTAATTTAAGCCAATCTACCTTCACACTTCGGATGTGCAAAAACTTTTCGGTCACTCTGTATATGTATATATTACAATAAAATTTGTAACAAAAATAATAATGTATTATATTATCATAGACAAATTGATTTTTAAGATAAGGAAAGATTTTGAATTATATAATTTTGAACAACCCAAGTTTCTGGTTACTATTAAATAGCAGATACTCTCATAACAATATTTAAATAAAAAATGTTCTATATAAAACTTTCTTAAGCACTATTACAGATTGTAATATATAATAGTTAAATTCAGATATTCAGAAGAATCTATTTACCATAGCAGTTCTGATTATCAGAGAATTAAAAATTAGAGAATAGAGCATCGTCATCTTATGCCGTTACCGTTGCACTTCGTTACTTTCCGTACCGTAACTAATAAATACATGTATGTATACATCTGGCAATAAGCAGCAACAGATAATTCCGTGTACCGTATGGCACGATGTTTCATTTTTGACATGCACTAAAAATGGACTCCTTTTAATTAAAAAAATTTTTAAAGAAATTTTAACTTTTATTATTTATATATTTTATAATTAAAATAGTTGTTATAAATAACTGTTTTATCATAAACAGATCACAAATATATATTGTATATTTTTAATGGCGTGTGTATTAACATTTTAAAACAATTCATGTGTTAAATAATTTAATATAAATATTCGGAAGAGAAAGAAAAAAATTTTCGATAAATATGTATGTAAAATGGTCCTTTTTATAATTCTTATTTCTTTTTCTTTGTATAAAAAGTAAATTATTTATTTATTTTTAAAATTGTTTATATATATATATATATATATATATATATATATAATATAATATATATACAGGGTGTTTCAGAATTTGCAGATATGGACTCCACAGTTTGTATCAAAACAAACAACTTTTTCCTTTGGCAAAATTGGGTTTCAGCATTACTTTTTAAGTAAGAGCAACTTTACGCTAATGAATAAGCGTCTTACAATTAGATTACGCTTCAATCAGGAGCGGCACTTAATAGCAACTGTCATATCGGAAATGCTCCAATGAACACAAGAAAATCTTATTTGCAGAGCTAATATGTGTGTACAAATGAAAGGTTTACATTTTGAGCATATGTTCTGAAGCATTTAATCGGCCCTTTTCAGGGTTAACAAATTTTTAAAATGTTGGAACAATAATTTTAGATCAAAATTATTTACAAGTAATTTAATCTTATCTTTCCCTTCAGTTGCTTCAGAGTATCAATTAAAAAATCTTGTTATATAAGTAAGTTATATTAAACAAATAGCGATATTTAGATGCATAATTCTTGTAACACTTTAATGAAATGGTAAAATAACATACACGTTCAAAACCCATGATTCAAGCGTAATCTAAAACGCTTATTTGTTAGATTAAAGTTGCTCTCACTTAAAAAGTAATGCTCAAACGCAATTCTGCCAAAGAAAAAAATTGATTGTTTTGATACGAACAATCACGCTGTGGAGTCCTCGTATCCGCGAATTCTGAAACACCCTGTATATCTTCTTCGGACTTTCTAGTTTTCATTTAAAAATATTTCTTTATATTTTAAACTATTCTTCCTGTCTAGATATTTAACTGCATTACATAAAAGATAAAACATACTTGTTTTTCGATATTTTTGAATCAAGATATCGAAAGGAAAGATATTGTAAATTCCTGCGTGGGAAAACCAGTGTTACTCTGCGCCATTTGCGTAATACTGCCGTCCACATCGTAAACCCGTCATAAAGCTGATCTAATTGACACGAGAATGTGGCTATTTATAATCCTTTCTGCTCTCTTTCTTGTTACAGGAGCGATGTCTTCCTGGAACCGTACCTGCAGCAGCACGGGACCGTTCAGGTGGTCAACTCGCCGAGTACTTCGCCGCCGAATCCATTACAGCATCGTCAACTTACTCAGTTACATCATGTACAGGTGAGTTATTGAAAAGAAAAAGAAATAAAATAGGGAGGTGAAGAGAAGAACAATGCAGTTTTATTTATTTAAATTGCGTAACACATGTATTTTTATATATGTATAATATATTTAATATATTATAATATATTATTATATAATATATTATGTAATATATTTAATTATATAATATATTATTATATAATATATTTTTATTATATATAATATATAGAGTTAATTGTTCTTTGTGAACACACACACACACACACACACACACACATATATATATATATATATTGTATATATATTTATACACTTATATTAGTATTATACATATGCAAATCAATTTTGTCACACAAGGTATATTTATGATATATTTATGTCATAATTATTAATATAATTAATTTCTTCTTCCACATATTTTGTTAATAATTATGAAAGATTTTTTTATCATATTAAGTAAATATACTGAAAAAACAACTATAAAAAAATTAAAACTTAACATAAAAAAATTAAAACTTATACATTATTAATTATTTCAGATATTTCCAATAATTAATAAAATTGAAATATATATTAAAATATTTATTAATAATTATTTTTAAAATTAAATAATGCAATTGTACTAATAATTATTTGTCATTAATAAAATATAAATAAACGTAAAAATTCATAAATATTTCTAAAGCAATTACAATACATGGTAATTATGCGAATTATTCTATAAATGAAAGTATTAAACATTTCCTTTTTTTCTTATCCTCTACTAATTCTATTATGTTTGTATCATTATTTTGCAAGTATTATAATATTTATTTTAAAAAACAATATAAAAAATGTTACATTAATAAAAAGAGTTCTATTAAAATAAAAATTGCAAAAAAAAATAAAAAATACAGAAAATAAAAAACTTAGATCATATTTAATGTTAATTAATATGATACGTATATACTATATATAAATTACATGGTTAATGCAGTGATTTGCTTATAGCCAATTTTTTACTAATGTTTAACAATTTTTTTTATGTTTTGTACTCTTTTTTACTTATCGTATTCAAGATTAAATACCTTTTTACATGATCTTTTTGCCTTTCTCAAACATAATTAATATAATTTAGAATTATTTAAAATTTTTTTTTACTATCTACATTTTTCAACGAGTGAAAGAGACATTTTCTCTATATATTTATTTTCATCGATTTTAATCAACATAATTTAAATTGATAAACGTAAAAAGATTATTTATGTTAATTAAAAGTTATTTATATTACAAGAACCCGCAAAATATTCAAGAAAATATAATTATTTTGCTCTGATTTTAAACCTCTGGCAATATATAACTGTTTCGTAATAATTAAAGTCAGGAAAATTGAATATTTAAAAGTGAGACATTTTTTATATGCGTTTGTCTGATGTGAATATTAAATAAATAATTAGCTACTGAACTTTTATATTTGGTATTTATTATAATGTGTACATTGCGACATTATTTTTTTTACTTTTCGGGTGTTAGAGAGGATGAGAAAGTACGAAACATCGTCAAAGACACAAGACAAATAAAGAGTATTCGCGCTTGAAGGAACAAAGATGGAGGGTGTTTTGCGCGAAGCGAAAGCCGTATCGAAATATCGGAACTGACCGCCAGATAGGATCTTTCACATATCAGTTCGCAAAAATAACGCGACAAACGCTTGTCTTATTTGCCACAGCTCGACTAGCTCGCCTAACGGTAGAGGGGCAGGGTCTATGGAAAAGTGTGTTACAATTAATTTATACGAGGTTCTAAATTTAAAGTTTCGATAAATACGAAGACGACACTTAAATAATTTACGCGAACGTATTATAGTGAAAAATAACAAATTTATTCAAAGAGAGAAAAGAAATAAAGAATTAACAAAATAAAGAAAAATAATAATCACATGAAATATAGAATTGTCCGATTAATTATAAAATTTGCATGCGGTAATATGACTAAATATTGTGTTTAATTAAGCGTACTATAATATACAATTTAAATTCGTAGCTATAAGACTATACAAAATTTCGTGACATCACTTACTGTCTTTCAAAAATGTTTTTGTTCCTAAAATTATATATTATAACATTCATACGAATATCAACAACATCGTACGCATAGCAATATAACTCAATTTATAGAAAACTTTGCTGCAAGTTGAAATGGCAAATGATAATTGCAGATACATAATTAAAGAATATAATTTCAATATCAATGTTATAAATGTTTTAATAAATTTTATGTTATTAATTTTTTTATGTTATTATATTTTGATTTTATCGATTTTGATGGTTGTCGATATTCTTTAATTATAAATATTAATACAATGATTATTCAGTGACAAGAAAAATCGATTATAAAGAAAAAAGAAACATATATGACTTTCTACTTAAAAAACAAAAAATATCTTTGACAAGTTTTCCATGGAACGATGTAACTGATCATAAGACATCTTTCTTAAAATCAAGCAGTTTTAGTTGAATCATTTTTTTGTGCAATGCATTTTAGAGGTTATTGAAAGCAATCATGTGTGTTAAATAACTCATCTTGTATATATACATTTTATATATTATATTACATTTATATTTTATATATATATATATAAATAAAAATAAAAAAATATATATATATATAAATAAAAATATAAAAAATAAGAAATAAAAAAAGATAATATACAGAAATATATAGAATATATAGAAACAAATAAAAAATAAGATAATATTATATATATTATATATATATATATATATATATATATAATATATATATATATATATATAATATATAATATTATCTTATTTTTTATTTGTTTCTATATATTCTATATATTTCTGTATATTATCTTTTTTTATTTCTTATTTTTTATATTTTTACTTATTAAATACAATTCTAGGCTTAAAATAATATGTGCTATTAGAGAAGTAATGTATCCTTCTTTAACTTGTCTTGAGAATAATATATGTAATGTGACAAGTTGGTCTAACGTCACAAAGAAATATAGTTATATTTTATACTTGATTTTACATTCAGATGAAACAACAAAAACTAAAGCGGCGTCTTATCGCGTAGGATTTTTCCTGTCGAGCAATTAAAGGATTTATCATTAGCTTCCTCTTTCTTATCCTCCCACCCTCTGTTTTTTGGAAAAGAGAGAGAGTATTCAACATGCAATGCACGTCTACATTTAATCCCGTTAGCTCGAAACCGTGTGTCAGTCTGCATTTCAAATTAAATTACACTCGAACCCTTTCAATGCCACCCCCTCTTCAGGCTTTCATTTCGCTTTGTCCGTCATCGATTTCCCTTTTCTTCGTCGATTTAGGGAGAATGCAATAGAAAATAAGTCACATTGGAATTAAAAAAAAACTCGTTGGTGTGTTGTCGAGCAATATCGATCAAATGGTTGAAAACAATGAAGAATGAAAAAGTGATCGAATCTTCCACTGAATATTTATTTTTTTCTTTCCTCTTTAACTCGAAAGAGCAAGAATAAAGCGTTCGAGTGTTTTTTATAGTACTTCTTCCAATAAAAAAAAATTGAAGAAGTGAAGAAGGAACAAAAATGAATTACGACCGATCACGAATTGGCTGTGAAATAAAGATAACTGGACGACAAACAGGATAGGGTATAATGTGGAATTAGAAGCGCATTGTGCGACAGAGCCGGTGGGATTTACGCGCCTCGGGGTTTAAAAGAGATAGAGATTTTCATATTAAAGCAAATTGCTGAAAATTCGAGCGTCGAAACAATTAATCACGTATAGTGTATCTTTTATAAAATAAGGTAAAAGGAGGTAAAAGAATATTATTTTAATTCATAAAACAGTATTAGTTCAGTTTTTAAAATAAAAATTTATATATTAAAAAGTTATGTAAAGTAATTGTCTTAATTTCCTACAAAAATAATGATATGAAGAATTGCGCCAACTCTAAAAATAAAAAATGGGAAGGCGATCGAAAGATCAAATCTGATGTGATCCTGTCTATCAGTGGGTCGAAATTAAAATTAGTCCATGGATGCCACACATCTCGCGAGATATGGTAAAAACACCAAGAAGTGTACTCATTCAAGCGGCCTGCTCGAAAGACGACTCTCTTAAAACACCTCATGCTGTACCAAAGAAAAAAGAAGATGTACGCGAACATTTAGGTCAAAAAAAATAATAAAAAAATCATAGAATTAAGATTAAAATGTTACTCATGAATTAAATTGAAGAAAATAAGTACATTTACAAAAATTGTGAGATTCCAGATATAAACATGTGAGATCTTTAACGTGTGTGTGTCAAATATAAATAACTTTTATAGATGTTACATTGATTCGTCAGTCAGGATAGATAGGGGAACCTAGATTTAATAATTTAGTCCTGACTGGGCTTTACGATAAATATGTTTCTATAAATAAAATTTTAATATACAAATATATTATACATTTATGTGAATGTAAAAGGAGAAAGGGATATGGAATCAGAAGTTTTCGAATAAAATAATGGAAGGAGGAAACTTCTTCTACAGGACTTGAATGCGAACTCTCAATAGAAGTCGGTAGCAGATACTAAGGATTGATAGCGGGAGCGCTGATTAGAAAATTGTGCAATTTCTTGTGATCAGGGCTCATACAAAATGCTGTCTCAGGTATCGAGAAATTGAGTTAGAAAATAGTTTAGTGTATCGCGAGCTAAATTCGAGAGTCTCGCGGTTATTCGCCGCCTCCTCAGGATCGCTGAGATACTCAAAGTCGTGAGAATCTTCCTCGAGGTCGGGTAGGCCTTCCGCAAAATCTTCGAAAGCCTCGTCGAAATCTAACGATTCCTGAAAATCATCGAATTCTGATGGAGAAAAGAATCGGAGTCAAGGGTAACATGTATGGAAAAGAAGACCTCGGGATGAAGGAATACGTTCTGAAAGAGGAAAAAGGTGAAGGAGTAGGTGAAGGGGATGCTCCGGAAAGAAGACTGATGGAAAATAGCTAGGTGCAAGGATAGGAGAAAGAAGTGAAGAGCAATTGTGTTGTTAGAATTTAAAATACTATTGTTTTCTAATTTTTTAAATTTATATTTTAAATTATTATTATTGAAAGAGCCAGAGGTGGTAACTTTTTATAAGCCAATGGGTGCTTATCATCCCGATTCTGATAATTTTAAAACCGCTTTGATGCTCAACCTCGACTTATAACAAGACACTAAAAATACTATAATTAAATTAATTTCCATTAAGTACTTTCCGAGTTATGAGGGTTGAAATTATTTCTTAATTTTACATAAACCGTAAAATATCTTGTAAAATATTCATTTTTCGATTATCTTACCTTACTAATACTTTTATATACAAAATAATAGGAGGAATCAATTGGTGTAAAGAAAACACATAATTGTTTCGAAAAAAAATGCAATTAACAATTACATTTTTTTTTTTTTTCAAAAAATCGTCACTAATATATAGTTCTACTAAAAATTTTGCAATTATAAAAAATTCTGTAATTCTGCATTAGAGAACATTTTATGAAGAGCTATTATTCTATTTTAAGGCTATTATTCTCAGATAATCTGTAATATTATTCGTTATATACTTATCGTAAAATCTTTTTCCGATTAGAGTGAAGAATCATTTTCATCGGAAGGATCGGCCACTTCGGAAGGATCTTCGGGATCTATGGAAAATTCTGGAAGCGAGGTGGCCTGTGACATCACTCTGATCGAAAGACTTATACGCTCTCATCCTATCTGGTTTCTGCCAGGCATCCAGAGAGCCGGTGCCTTTCACTTATTGCAAGGCAAAGAGGAAGGGGTGAGTGTGTGCGCTTATATAAATCGTAAATTAAAATTAGAAATTTAATCTTTGTATCATATCCGAAATAAAATAAATGTAATTGGAAACAAATAGTTTCTGAAAGAATTAAAATTAATTCTAGTAACTGTTATATATGCTATATATATTATTAAAATTACGACATTATATATACATATGTAGTGTTGTAATTTTAAGCTAGTAGTATATACAATAAAAGTAGCATATATAATAAAAAATAATTTGTGATGAAAAGTTGATGGTTGATTTAAAAAAATACACATTTTGAATGTGATATAATCATAGCAATTAATATAAGAATGAAAAATTTTCAACATTTATCACTTTTTAAATTTTTTGTTACAACGATTTTTTGTATGCTTAGGAATCCGCATTTTAATCTTTGTAAAATATGTTTTTCTCTGAAATAGCTTTGCGAATAAAATAAGAATAAAATAAGAGAAAGATATTACAGTTTTTTCTAATCTAATAATTCTTAAATATTTAATTTGAAATATCATCTTACATTTTTCGATATAAAAATTTATAAAGTTATTTGTATATTCTTAAGAATTATCAATAGTTATGTGAGTAAAGTTATTGATATTATATAATAAGAACAAGAATATTACGTTAAGAAATAAAAAAATGAATTTTTGTAAAGATGTGTGTTTTAGGGTTAATAACAGATATTTACTATATATTATAATCTAAATATTGTAAATGTAAAAATTTAGAATTTATATATTGATTACTTTTAATTGATTGCTGAGATAGAATTGAGCATATGCGTACAGTGTTGAAATATTTCAATTTATAATATACGTTTTTTTTTTGTAACAGATATATATTCTTTTTCAATTCATACGTATATATACAGGATTTTCGTCCTATCATGTGCCAAAGAAAAATCATAAGTAAATCTTGTTAAACCGAACTAAAAAAATCTTATACCATTTTGCAAACAATTACATGAAATTTCGAGATATTATATTAAGTAAAAAAAATATATATACACTACTCAAAAAAATAGGGAACATTTTTTATACACTAAAAATTGGGCTATTTTCAAATCGCTGAAACTCGTCGAAAAATCATCATAGACAAAAAATTAAAAAAACATTTTGAAGCTTGAAGTTTCAACTTTAACGCTCAATTGACGATTTAAAAAAATTTTATCTTCCTTCTATGTGTCTTTAAAAAAGAACATTGTTTAGTTAAAATTATGTATGTTTAACATAATGTATATTTAACACGCCGCAACTTGATAAAAAAATTTTTCTCGCGAAATTCAACTAAAATTCTATAAACTACAACATTTTGCCTACAAAACGCTTTTTTTAAAATTTTCTTACGATTTTTTTTGACCGAATAATACGATTTTGAAAATAAACCAGTACTTTTTGGATATTAAAAAACTTTTATTTTATGCGAGCCCCGTGGAATTCAAAGTTTTTGAGAATTTTTCCACTTCAAATTTAAATATTATATTTATAAAGAAGCAATTAAATCTTATTGTCACATATCATTCCGCCTTATCTCATCCTTCTCTTTATATCAGGCATTATTATCTTCTCTCTGAATGGAAGGTATCATTTTCGCTCGACACCATTTTCCTCTATCCACATTAACATTTGCTGCTGCATGCCTCGAAACAATGAACGCGAGTGTTGTGTACTTTTAACGTTCGGATGGATTGTAAAGAAGAAACCGCACTACTCCCAGAGTGACGGAAAACTATGTCAATGTTTGAATTGTTGCGAAATTATGCTGGGAAAATTTTTTACATACTTACATAAATCGAGACAGCAAGGTCGATGAAGTACATACGTAACTCGTCATTACGGGCATAATTGATTTTATATTTACATAGAATATGACATTAATACGTATAATGGAAGCGTTCTTAAATATAACTTCACGAGACTATAATCTAAGACCCAAAAAAAATTTCTAAAATTTATTTTATATTTTTTATAATTTTTTTTACAATTCTATAATAATTATGCTCGATATTCTTTGCGGTATAAAAAGATAAATAAAATTGTACAATAAATAGGTAACAGGTAAATATTAATTAATCCTTTCGTACCTCCGACTTTTCCAAAAGAGATATGTTTTATATGAAGAGTTTTATAGGTTTTATAGGTTTTATAGGTTTTATAGATTTTATAGGTTTTATAGTTTTTATAGGTTTTTGGAGGTGCTGATTCCAAATTTACCATCAAAATTTAAATTCAAAATGGCAGATTCAAGATAGCGACTATAAAAAACTTAAATATCAATATATTTAAAATATAAGCTTAGATTTTATTTTTAGATTTTTTATAAATATATATTATGTTTTTTCCTGAATATACACACACATGTACGATTCGTAGCGTTATTATACACTTTTTTTTTCAAGCGACGCATTTGCCGCGAGACTTGGATGCCCATCGCACGCGTCGTCTTACTTTGATTACACATATAAAATAATATTATAATATTTATCATAACAATATTTATATTTATATTTATATTATAATATTTATCATAACAAAGTTATAATCACATTTAAATAAAACCTTAAGTTTATAATTAGCGCATAAATTCTATAATTTTTTTATTAATATACGGTTAAGCTTGATTCTTTCAAAAGTTTGATTTTCCGCAAAATTTAGATAATTATATTTTATTGTAAACATTATTCATTTCAAAGTGCGCGATTTTTTTACATGTAGCTTGAACTTTCTTCTTTAAAACAAGCTGAGGTAAAAGTTGATATAATTATTTGTTTAAAAGTTATGATTTTTTTCGTAGATGGGACATATATGTCCCGAAGGTACGAAAGTGTTAAGATAGTCATATATCCTTATATATATATACAAGTACATGTATACAAGTATATAGTACAAGTATAAATAATTATTAAAGTTCCACAAATTCAATAATATTAGAATCTTTCTAACGAAAGATGAATAAAACAGATACAAAATAAAACAGATGATAAATTCTCTTATTATAAATAATTTAAAAATTTGTTAGTGTTATTAAAGAGATTGAATGAGAAATATTAGAGCAATAAAATTCCAAATATGTTGCGTAATATATCTCCCGATAAGATTAATGAAGAAATCGATTAAAACACAGACAAAATGCTTATTGTCTTTATTCACATTTATATTTAATTTTTTTGCTTTTTTTTTCTATAACACTTCTATAATGGCGCGTAAAGCTCTGCGCTGTAATCAGCGTAGAAATGATTGCGAGCAAACGATGAGACACTGCTCTTTTGCCATTGCTTCCCCTCCGATGCATTGTTTTATTCCTTTGTTAATTATCCTTTGTCATTTCATCCTCCGTCTTTTCTGCTGTCTCCTGGTCTCTAACGAATTGTACCAAAAAACAATGCGCCTCACAGTTATTTTTTATATAGATGAGTTGTGATTCTCTTTTCGTTCTACCTAAAAATTTTTAGTTCAAGAATTTTGTAATTTTTTGTTAAAGATCTGTTGTCTTTTTGTTATTTTTATTTTAATTTAAGAAATTTTATTCTTTTTAGAAATTTATTCTTTGTAAAAATTTTATTTTTTATTACATGATTTTATCTCTTTTCGATTTTTTCTACGTGAAAAAGAGAGAGTTTCGAAAATTATAAAAATAAGAAAGAACTAATATATGTAATATTTCTCTCATCTATTTTCATTTTATATCTATTCTTGATTATATACATCAAAAAAATAAGAAAATTAAAAAAACGTTATAGTAGATGTTATTAGAATTTTTAAACATCCTTTTGGATTTTGAATTGCATCTTATTATCTTCAAGTCTCTTTATCAAGAAAAAAAACAGAAAAACAGGAAAAATTTAATCACAATAAATACAAAATATAATATGTAATTAAAACAAATGATGTTAATATTTGATTAATATTTAATATACATTTTTGTGTGTGTTGCAGAATTTTGTGGTGCGACAATCAAGTCAGAGTGACACAATGGCTCTCTCGGTGAGATTACCGGCCGGGAAAGGACCATACATTGAACATTATTTGATCCAGGCCAACAAGGGCAAGCTGAGCTTGGAAACGAGCGAGAATAGATTCGACAATATCCCTTCACTGATTGCTCACTATTCGCAATGTTGGTGAGTGCCTTGTTCTCTTTTCTTATTTATTATAGATTTCCGCCACACGGAAATGACATATGTGGTATTGTCCTTCTTTTTTATTTTCTAATCTCAATAAATTTGTATGTCCACAAACTATAGCTCTAATTAGCAACTGTATTCTCTTGTAATCTCATCTCTCACTTTTATCTTCTAATCTCTATAAAATCCTATATGTCACAAACTAGCTTTGTCAACTCTATTCTCTTGTTTCTCACAGTTTTCAAACTTTTCTCTCTAATTAAATTATTTATATTAAATTATATTATAATAATATTAGTAAAAATAAATAAATAAACACACACACACACACACACACACACACACACACATACATATTATATATATATATATATATATATATATATATATATATATGTGTGTATATATATATGTATATGTATATATATAAAATTGTAAGAAAAGTAAAAAGGAAACGTACGTTAGATATATAAAAATGTATTCTTTATCGATTTAAAAATAGAAGAAAATTTAAATAAGAAATTAAGCATTAAAAAAATTAATTATTGGAAAATCGATGTACAATCTATGCATTTTAATCAAGAAAATGAGCTACACATTATTAATTTAATAATGTGGACACTTAATTTAAGATTTCCTTAAGTTATAAAATAAATTTTAATTAATATGATTTATAATTGAAAAAAATTATGTAAATGCTAAATCGTATTCAGATTAAAATAAAGTATCAAAACTTTATGATGTAGTCAAATGATACGGATTACATCTGATAATAAATATAATTAACTCATGTTATGATGAAACAGTTGCTATTTAAAAGTATAAAAATTTTTAGTCGAAATATGGAATATATTATAAGAGAGCAATAAAAAATGTTTATTTTAATATCAAATGTCTTTATTATTTTAATAATCTCAAACATTTTTATTTTTTTAAATAATATAAAAGAATATTGCTTATAAACATTTTTTTGTGAATGGAGATGTATAGAAAATTTTATGATTGTATGTATACATATATACTTCCGCGTCACATATATAAATAAATAATAAACATATACAATTGAAAAAATTTCTTAAATAAAATAGAATGTACTATTTAATTTAAAAAATATATATAACACATATGTATAACACATAATGTTACAATAATATAACACGTATAATATTACAAGGTATTTCATAAGTGGTGGGCAAAATTTCAGGAATGGATTCCTTATGCTTAGAGAAGGAAAAAAAGTTAATCAATATAGGTTCGGAAATTATTAGTTTTTGAGTTATTAAGATTTTGGACAATTAGAGGAAATGTTCAATATGTCCACCTCCTGTCACAAAACAAGCCTCAGCTCGTCGTCTCATTGAATCCCGAACACGTCGAACTTGAAAAACATTGTTGATGCCTTTAAAAGGACTTCTAAGACAAGAAATGAGACAAAATTTTGTATTGCAAAAATCTTAATAACTCAAAAACTAATCATTTCCGGACCTATGTTGATTAACCTATGCTGATTTTTCTTCTTTAAGCATGAGAAATCCATTCCTGAAACTTTGCTTATCACTTATGAAACACCCTGTATATATCAAAGAGAGAGAAAATGATTTAAATGACAACATAATTTCGATTTGTGATTATTTCCGTTTGGCAAGCAGTGATGAGTTACCAGTACAATTGATTCTGCCGAGGGCGATGCGAGAAGCGAAAAATAGGCAGCAATTGTCATCGCTGGCATTACTGGGCCAAGAATTTTGGCGGTATGGTCCTATGGCAAATCCAAAACCACCGGAAAGTAGTAGCAGTAATACTTCTAGTCTCAGCAGTTTCCATGGTGGTAAGAGTAGTTTTTGATATTAATTTAACTCAAATCCGTAAAAAGACTTTTCTAGAAAAGATGAATAAATAGTCAAGTGTATAAAAAAGTGTCCGGGTATTACCAATTCTCTAATAAATCTATTAATAATGAAAAAATTTATTAAACATTTTGTGTGTAACACATGTAATTTAATACTTAAACTTATTAGAAGTTTATATTTGAAACTAAATAGCTTAAAATTAAATAAGAAATATAAACAAAGAAGATTTTTTTATTTTTTTCTTCGCAGGCAATAATAACCACAATAATAACATTAACAATAATGCGGATACACCGACCACGGAGAGTATAGTGCTCAATCTGGCCCCAATATCATCTCAAGATACACGTAAGAGAGACATTGATATTTTTTTTAATTTTTAGCATTCTCTCTTACATTCGTTGTGTTATTGATTGTTAAAATGTTCTTTTTAATCGAAATTATGATTCTATTTTTTTCAGATTTATTTTCTATTTTACTTAAATGTTATGCATAATTAATTTTGTAATATTTTTAAATATATAATTTATATTACATTACTTTAATTACATTATCTCAATTTTTTTATATTACTTATAGATACTTATAGATACTATTTTGAATTACAAAATGTTCAAAAATTAAGAAATTAAGGTATACAAATATATAAAATTGATAGAAAAACTATAATGCTGCAAAAAATTATGTTATCAAATATAGAATTAAATTTAATATAATTTTAAAATGTGAATATAAATCAATAAAAATAAAATGATATAAAGTGAAAAAATATTTTTTTAACATAATTTTAATTAATACTTGGATATTATTAAAGTTTTTTTGAAACATTAATTACGATACTTAATGTAAATTTACTCAGATACTTTCTTATTTATATTTAGAATTATATTTAGAATCGTTTTCAAAAGCTAAATAAGATAAGAGCTAATAACTTGTAACAGATAATTAGCTAAGATCTTACAAGCTGTTCTATAAATAATTTGTTACCTAAAATGAGCTAAATTTTTATAAGCAGACACTCCTTCTCCGACGAACACCGTTAATGCGAATATATCGACATTTGCCTCATCGTTGCCACGTCAGCCGCGTCCAACTCCGCCGAATACCCTCAATCTAACAACCTTCAATGAACCTTTGAATGACAACAAAAGAGATCGAATATTATCACCAGGTGACAAGCTCTCTCACAAATTGATATCGCCAAACCTTGTGCAAAGTATACGATGCCCATCACCAGTGGTTCACAATGTGGAGAACAACGTTTTGAGTCCTGCACAAGATGTTAAGAGCTTTGACATTCTGAAGAGTGGTCTGGATACATCCAAGTCGACGACGATCAATTTCATGAAGAATTCAGAGAAATTTATTTCTACTTCAAGCTTCCATCAAAACAATGCGTCATGCGCTACTTCACCAGAATTAATGGATATTAAGAATATTGTCACTGAAAGTGATAAAACTACGCAAAATATGAAGACACCACCACCACCGCCACCAAGATGGGCCAAACCCGGCATCAGTCAGAATCAAAGTAATTTTACTGTAACTACGACAGTGACCTTCGATATGAATCATGGAAACGGGTTGAATATTTCGCAGGTAAAGTTGAGGAATAATTCTTTCTTAAAATATATAATATAACAAACATTCGCTTTTTTAATTTTTAAACTATATATACATTATACATATATAATTGTACATGTTATGGAATTTTTTTAAATATAATATTTATATCTTCTTATATCTCTCTCATTTTATATTTATAATATTTTATAACATTTTGTTTCTTTTTATCTTGGAATATTTTGTAACATTCTTTTTTATATTTATTTATCTTATAGTATTTTATAATTTTTTTATAGTTTGTTCATCATTATTATTGTTTTTTATATGTTAATTTTTTATTGCACAAAATAAAATAATTAATAATTTTTTAAGAATTAAAGAATTGGAAGAGAGAGAGAGGGGGGGAAGGAAGATATTCCTTTATATTAAAATTATAACAATCTTTTCATCTGTCTGCCAACAGCAAAATACACCGTCGGATCCCAATACGTCACTGCTGAGTCCTCAATCTAACAAATCTCTCATTTCCAACTTCTCTATCAAATCACCTCTTTCACCCACCACTCCAATTTTATCTCCTACCTCCAAGCTAATCTCGAAAACACCTAGCGTACTTTCTCCAAATACTCCCTCCAGCATTAGTAAATCAAAAAGACGGCGTGATCGTGAGAATCGGAAAAACTCCCAGCATTATCAAGAGTCGGATATCTTGGAATCATATTATCGCAGTTCGCCAGCTGACAAAATTTCCGATTACGAGGATATTTGGAATACGACTGACCAATCGACGCAATCGACCTGGAATGATAGATTGAAAAATAACAAGATTGTTTGCACCCCGCAAGATCGTTTAAGGAGTTCTAATGATCGTCTGTTGAGTCCCAAAGAATCTGATAAAAATCTTGTTGGTGAAAAATCAGCGGGAGAACAAATAATTTTGAGAAATGATAGGTTCATTTTAAAAAGTGATAAGCTAGGGTGCAAGGAAATGACAAGTCCGGAGTTTAGTAGTTTCAAACCTGTTCCAGAAATGAAAAGTCCTGATCAGAGTTCATTAGAGGAGAATGGAATAGGAAAGAGACCTGATCTGCTATCCAGAGTTTGTAAGTATGTTTATTATACAGAATAGCGTATAGAAATTATGTTGTAATAAATCTATCTGGAAAAAAAGAATTAATTTTAATTAAATAAAAGAATTTTAAGATAAAGATATCCTTGAATATAAAATGTGTACATTTTTATTTTTCATTAGATTATTCTGAAAATTTATTAATATTACTAAAATTTTATAAATTTTATAAATTATTATTAAAATTACTAAAATTTTATATATTATTATAGAAGAGAAATAAATATTATAGTGAATCATTTTATGATATACTATTATATTGAAAGTCTGTAATTTATTTTAATATATTTTAGTCATTCAGATTAAAAATTTTTCTTTTAATTTTTTGCATTGTTTTGCAATTAGATTTTTTTCTCAAATGTTTAATTATTTAATTAGTTGATATTTAATTAGTTAATATTCAATTATTGAACTTTTTCAAGCTTTTGCAAAATTTTGTTTAAAGACTTTTTAAAATTATATCTTTTTGTTCTTATTTCTATAGGCAGTGCCAATTCATTGAATAGTCCAAACACAGTGACGCCTCCGAGAAATAAATTAGGCCTTGTCCTGGCAAATTCGGAGAGTAATAGCCCTCTGACTCCAGAATCTAAACAGAGTAGTCCCTTTTATGCTGAACCAGCCGATGCTATTGCTCAGAATGTTGCTATAATTCCGAGGAGGCGACCAAACAGAAATAATCCAGTGATAAATAAATATCGACATAGCGAACCAGGTTGGTTACAAGCTCCGACAGGAAATAACGCTAATCAATTGCACCCTATCGACTGCTGGGAAGAACCCTCTGAGGAAACGGAAGATAAGACGCCATTAATTTCATCATCGGTCGACAACCTGGCGAGGAGATTAGGTCAAACTAGAGAGACGAAGAAAATTCCCCGGGCGAAACCCGTTCAACCACCGAAGATAAGAGCTAAGGTGTTTAATGATACTTCTTGGACAGTAGATTCCAGTTGGGAATTTATCGGTAAGTAAAAGAACCAAAATGTGTATATATGTGTGAATATATATGTTAGCCACATAATAACAAATTCCCAATTATTCCGGATAGGCAATGATACGGAGGAGCCAGACGGCGAGCCAGACTACGATTGTGATACTGACTATAACGGTGATAATGTTGCGAGAAAATTTCCTGGTGACGACGAGTGCAATAGAAACATTATTGGAGATACTTTGACAGTTCAGAGTTTAATCCTGCAACGGTAAGTCTCTTAACATAGAAGAGAATCATAAGATATACAGGATGTCATGAAAGTGAGTCTGATTTTTAAAAATTAAGATAGATTTTTTTAAATTTATTTCTCGTTAATTATTGCGAATATTGCATAACTGTACAAGACTTTTCTTCTAACTTTCAGCCAATCTACCTTAATTTTTAAAAGTCAGGCTCCCTTTCATGATACCCTGTATATACAAAATTATAAAGTTTCATGATACTTTTATTTTTATTTTACATTTTCAATCAATTTTTTTTAAATGTAGAATATGTATTTTCCCCTGATTAGTTGATATCCAATAATGGATTATTGTATATTTGCTATTTAATTGTCCTATATTTAAATATATAAAGCCAAAGTCTTAGAACATTTTATCTCTTACAATAGCTAAAATTAAAATTAAAATTATTAAATTAAAGTATATTTACATGTTATCATCTCTTATAATGTAGAAAGCTTTTAATAAAGAATAATCATGTAACATTATAATTTCGAAAATTCTGTATAAATTATAAGAATAAAAAAATGCAATAAAAAAATTGAGATTCTCTGAAAGTTCAATTTTTTTTAAGACTTTAAGCTCTATATATCTAAATTAGGACAATTAAATACACAATAATCCATTAATCGCGATTTCCACAAGGATGCTAAAGATTATACAAATTATTTCAAATCTTCTTCAAAATCAAATAATTTTTTTCTAAAATATTTGTTTGCCAAGATATTTTCACAGAAATGTTTATGATAAAATTTAACATTTTAGTATGATTTTGATGTTTTCATTTTGTATATAAGAACAAATACTAAAAGGCGAAAATATCTCAAAATGAAATATTTTTTAAAACAGTTAGAAGCCTTGGGATTAATTAGAAATAATTAATAACGCGATCTTTGAATCTTACAGGTTTCCGGAATTATTTAAATCGCCGGACACTTGTGAATCTTTATATAGCGACCGAAATTCCTCATATGATAATGTAGAAAAGCGAAACATGGATCGCGAAGATACACCAGACTCACAGAAAGATTGCACGTATGATCCTTCTGAATGGGAAACTATGTTGGATACGGACGTGGAAACAGACATGGAAAAGATCAAACGAAATAAAAGTTTTAAAGAACGATTGGATCCTCTTTTGTGTAAGTTTTATATCTCTTTTTTATAATAAATTGATTGAATAGTTTGAAAATTTTGCAAAAAATTTGGCAAAAAATTATTTTTAATATTTATCATATTTGATATTGTTTACAAAATTGTATAGGACTTTTTAATTCGGTTTAACGAGACTACTCGCTTTATGATTTTTCCTATTTGCACTATGCTATATTTTCTACATTCATAAGATATATAGGCAACTGTAGTTGTAAAACAAGTAAATAATCAGAAAAATTTTTCATGAGAACATCGAATATTTTTCTTTAAAATTTAAAAATTCGAAAAATAAGATACAATAAATAGCAAGAAATAAAGAAACGAAACTAACTTTTTGCTTTCAAAATTATTCTTTTCTACTTTGTGTTTGTTTAAAAAATCTATTTAAAAATCTATTTAATGATGTAAACAATTTTAAAAAAATTATACACTATTTTCCAATCTATTTTATATTCAATTATTACATTTAATAATATATAAATCACATTAATTTAAATCTTAATTATAATTTATATTTCATCCAGATTATTAAACAAATTATTTGCTTAATAATCTGGATCCTTTATTCGGTTTCAGAATATTAAATAGATTTTTCTTAATTGAATGGGTAAATAGGAAATAATTCATTTATTGCACGTATTAAAATATTCTGATGTCAAATGTATGTAAAATAATTGTATGTATATTATTGAGATAAATATTTAAGGAACGTCTAATAAAAAACACTAATAGATGTTTTTTAAAGCCATTTTTTCTTATCTTTTTCAAACTTTTTTTATATTTTCAAAGTTTATTTATTAAATTTAAAACGGTGTCTGCTTTTGTAGCAAAACGCGTTTTAATATTACAAATACGTTGCACCGTAACATTGCTACAATCTTACATTGCAATATTCCTAAAAGCGGGCATTTTAACGTTGCTGCAATTCAACAACAATGATGAAGCAACATTTTGCAGTGAATTGGCAACGTTGCAATATTGCGGTGATTGCTACAATATGTATGCAATCTTTGTGTGCTGTATGGGCGCGAATATAATTATTCTGATATAAAATATATCATTTTCTTTCTATTCTAAGATTCTGAAAATAATTTTCATCTTTTTTTTTATATATAGCACCACCACGAGTACAAGCACTTTCGAAAAATCGTGATCAACAAAATGGAACCGGGGCAGCTATTAGAGCTTACGCTCTTCAACTTGCGGCAGACAAAACGACAACCTTTTCGCAAAATATCGACAATTTTATTCAGTGCACGCGGGAAAGTAAAGAAGTGACTCCTCATGTGGTGATGCGCAACATGCGGCAATTCATGTCGGGTATGAAGAATTATTTGGTCAAGCATGGTGAGCGCGAGTTTGAAAAAGAGGTAGAGAAGGAGCGATTAAAGTTGCGGCCAAATGAATTCCTCAATCTCGATGCAATCCTCGAAGATGTGATGATGGGTCTAGTCGTGAGGCCTCTGCGTGAGCATGTTTGTCGGTTGTTCATTGATTACTATGTTGCTACTGGTGTGCTACAGACTTTGGCAGAGAACATTCAGCACGCTCAGGGCAAGACCATTCATGATCTCGGCGTTCGAGTAAGTAGCTCTCACATACAAGGTGTAACTGAAAAAGTGGAAAATATTGCAATGGTGGATTCAGGATACAAAAATAAAAGAAAAAGTTCATATAACATATGTCCGATATGATCTTATTTTCAAGTTATAGCTTCTTTCAACAGAATTAAGATAGTTAAGTAACAGGAAGTGCTCAAAATAACTACCTCTAACTTAAATACAGGCTTCAACATGTCTCATCATAGATTGTCTGACTTTTTTAAAAATTTCGAGTATTGCTCGAATTTTCCGGCAAACATCTTCAACACGTTGACGAAGTATCTCAACGTTATCACGGATGTTTTGTATATATGTTTATATGAACTTTTTTTCTTATTTTTGTGTCCTAAACTCACCATTGTAATACTTCCCATTTTTTAGGATACACACTGTATATATATATATATATATATATATATATATATATATATATGTCCTAGGCTGTGACCACCTGTACACCCTTTTTAAAATGAAAATAAATGGCTTTTATCACAAATCACGAACAATTTTTGAAGTAAATCAGGTACGCTCTATCAAATGGTGATATTTTCAACTTTTCCGACCGAAAATACGCCATCCGGATCGGAAGTTGAATTTTTGTAGGGAAACCTGATACTTTTTATTACAGATTCGAATTGTACGTGAAAAAAATAAGAAACTTTTGTATCAAACGTTTTTTCTAAAAGTCCCTCTGTCAATTTTAAAATTGTCAATTTTACTATGTTCCTCTAAAAAAATTGAATTTCCGATCCAGATGGAGTATTTCCGGTCGGAATCAAAAGTTGAAAATATCACTATTTGATAGAGCGTACCCGATTTACTTAAAAATTGTTCGCGACTTTTTATAAAAGCCATTTATTTTCATTTTAAAAGGGGTATACGAGTGGTCTGGGACATCCTGTATATATGTAGATATAACTTTATATATGAAATTAATTAAATATTTATTACATTAAAAATGACAAAAAATTTACAAATTTATATTTATATTTCATATTTCATATTATTTTATTATTTACTTTTATATTTGTTATCTCAATCTATACCATATTTATTTATATAATTTGCCTTTGTGTGTGCAGTCGAAGATCGTTCCCCCTTCAGAGGAAAATCTGGAACGCATTCTCAAGTGCATTGAGCGATTACAAAGAGCTGACTCACCTCTTGAAAAACTGGAGCATTTATTGACAGCCATTTCGGCCATCTTCAACTCTGTAAGTATTTTCGCAATTTTTCTTAAGCGTATTAGCAAAATTATAAATATGAAATTCTATATTTTATCAATTTTTGTTATCAAAACTTTTTGTTAATATTTTTGATTTTCAATATTTTCTCAAAATCAATATATGTATATCAATACATATTCTTATTTCCTTTTTATAATTTTTTCATTTATTATAATTTTTTTATTTATATTACTGAAATTATTTGTAATAACTTT